CAAAAATAAAATAAAATCAAGAGAAAAGGTGCTATGGAAGTACCGTGGTCTTGGTGTCCTTCAATGACTGGATGGTGTAATTGGCTTGTTCCATGTTAAATGACTGTTGGGCAAGGTTGTCCCGCTGCTGCTCATACCTTTTTTAGAGTGAATTGAGAATGGCAAATGTGAGCCAAATAGAAATCCTCAGGAAGAAAGTATCTCTAACACTAAATGAGAATTCTCTTAAAGAAAAAAAAAAAAACTTTAGAAAATTAAATCCAGAAAAACTGGCAAAAACAATTTAATAACTCTGACACGAATACCACCTTTCCCTTCAGTCTTTTTCTTTTGTATATATTTTAGTTATCACACTATTTTTACTCTAATATTATGGCATTTGCTGGTTTTTTATGTTGCTACAAAGTCTTAATATATATCTTTATAATGTTTTGCATTATTTCCTATGTTAAATTCCCAGAAGTGGAATTCTGGAGCAAAGTGTAAGACTATTTTAAAGGTTCTTCATATATAAAGTGAAGTTGTTTTTCCAGTAGACTGAACTCCTTGAAGACAGGTATTATATTTTATTAATCTTTATCCATAATTAGGTAACCCCTCTGACCTAATATAATGCCTGGAATTCAAAATGTTTTTTTTAAAATAAAGTTTTATATCAAAGTGTAATACTACCTCAAAACCTTATGTACTGTAGTCTTTATACAATATCTGCAAACCATCTATCCAACCAGGAGAAAAATGGTCAATTCATGGTACAAACGAATGGAAGTGAAATATAAAAAAGTATAAAGTTGCCAAAAGATATTTAAAAGGACAAAGTAATGCTCATGATATAATGTGAGGTGGAAAAGGATACCTATATACGTGCCATTTGTTTTCTTTTAAAAAGTTATATGCACATATACTATATATGCACAAGCAAAGAAAATAAACTGTAAGAAATTAGCATTTTAAAGCTGGTTGTTTCTGACAGTAGCAATTTTCTTCTATTCATGTTTATGTATATTCCAAGTTTTTAAGATGAACATGTATCATTGTAGAACATGTATTTAAAAAAAAGTTACTGAACACTTGCAATGCTGATTAAGGAGGTAACAATTTTACCATAATCTCGCCACTCTAAATATTACAATTTTCTTTTTACAGATTTTGTTTAATGTAAAAGGAGTAAGATTGTATCTGCTTTCTTATAGAAAGTCATTTTATAAATAAAAATGGAGACATCAACAATCTTTCTGGTTCCTTACTGAGTACATCTGAGCTCTACAACCCTGCAGAGGGTCTCAACAGCTGGACAGCCTATAAGGATAAGCACTAAAGATACTATTTGGCTTCTGTTCAAACACTGGGATATAGTCACCTAAAACAAATTAAAGACCCATCTTCTGTTGGGAGGAAACAAATATTCAAGAGTCCTAATTTTATAGACAGACAAAAATTTAAAAGGCACACTATAATTAAATAAATAAATGAATGAATGAAGAACCAAACCCTATACATCTAAGCAGTCTTATACAGAAGTCACTAGCCACATATAGTTTCTTAAACTTAAATTGTTAAAATGAAATAAAATTAAAACTTTCTATTCCTAGTCACATGTAACATTTCAAGTGCTCAATAGCCACCTGTGGCTAATAGCTACTGAATTGGTCAGAATAGATACAGAACACTTTTATTACAGCAAAAAGTTCTATTTAGATGGATGGTGCTGCAACAGATATTGCTGTACACACTGGAGGAGAAAAACGCAGCTAACTATATATTTAAATGAAATTTGTAATTAAATCAAGAACACTTCTAAAATGGTATGAAAACCTTAAGGAATGGAAGACCATTTTACTTTTGGCCAAAACTGTGGAAGAAAGGAGATTGTGCCTATAACTTACATCCGTTTTTGCTTTAAAACTCGCAAGGCTTTCTGCTTGACCATATTCTGGGGAGAAAAACAGATTTTTAAATGAAAAGCACAAAATATAAAGTAAAAGAAATCTCTCATATCCTCAGACAAACGTATCTACTTACTCTCTTTTTAAAAGTAGGAGACGAAGTGGCTCCTGGATTGCTCTTCACCTCCCAAGCACAGTCTTTAAGTTTCAGCTCATCTTTGTATCCCACATCTCAGAGTATGAACTGCATTCCTTTTCCCTAGTACATATTAGCTCCACCCCCAACCCCAATAGTGCTGATTTTTGTATATCCAGTTGCCTTAGGAGATTCCCAACTTGGACATTCTGCTATCCACACAAACTCAACGTGTGCAAACTCCTCAACCTACTCTCTCCTTGGAGATTACTAACAATGACCCCACCGATATCTTACCTCTCTAGGTTGAGAACCTTTATATCAACGTTACCTTTCTTCTCTGTTGTCTCTTTATGCACAGTCATCTTCTTACTGATTTTCAAAACTCATTTTCAAATTGATTCATGTCATTCTCATGACTACCACCATGGTTTAGGCTTTCATCTCAAGTCTAGATGAGCTTTCCTGCCTCTGGTCACTTCATTCCATGCCATCAACCAAGATGGCTGCGCAAAGCCTCTTGTCACTTCCCTTTCTATACTGTTCCATAAATCATTTTATTTGTCTCCTCCAATAAAGAAGGAAAAGCAGATATTACTCCAGGGACAATAATACCTAACATTTACTGAATGCTTCTATGTACTAAACACAGTGCTATGTAGGTCACATGAATTACCTCATTTAATATTCACACTATAGATACTGTCCTCATTTTCCAGATGGGAAACTGAGGTTCAGAGATGCTAAGTAACTTGCCTGAGCTCCAATGGTTAATAAGTTATGGAGATGGAAGCAAAGAAGGTAGTTCTATATCCACAGTCCATGCACTTAAACACAGTACTCTATGCTTCTACCTAACAGAAGAGGAATATAAGAAATTAAATGACTTTATCAAGGCCACAGCTAATAGGCAGTGACAGTGTTATTAATAGAACACTGGTCTCCAGATACCTAGTTTGGCACTTGTTTCTCAGCATACCACTCCTTAATCAGTTTATTATACCTACCTAACATGACAAGCCCGGCAACTCATTATTCCTGAGCATGGCCCATCCCTTCTCTCTATATTGCCATCTTCTCAGTAGAATATGCTAATTCCCACGTACATGCTCTCAACATGTGATCAGTATCCTCTTTTCACCAGGTCAAACCCCAGCCTCCCTCTCATATCTGGCTGCAAACTCTCCTCCCTAAAAGATACACCCTCACATAGATTTTCTCCTTACCAGACTGTGAGCATGTCTTCTGTATCTCTCACCATGCCCTAGGTACTCAAGTTAGGCTGTCACAGCAGCTACTGCCTACCTTACCTTTGCAGGACCCTCTCTCATCTTCTTGATCTGATCCTTATACTTCACTAGCTCAGCATCCAGTCGAGAAATCTTCTTGTCAATGGATTCTGCCCTGCTGTCCACCTTGAGGGAAATCAAAGGCAATGGTAGTTACTGTAATATACTTACATGAGAAGGGGCAGGAGAGGAATAGGAGGAAGAAAGGAGAAATAAAGATCATACAGTGAAGGGTGGAAAACTGTGGTTCCCAAAAGGGATGGGATTCCCAGTCAGAAACACTGGCGGGGGAGAGGGAGGGGGGCAGTTACTTTTATAAACTATACTCAACCCCCTAGATTCTGATATTCCAGGATCTTCCTCAAGCGCATTTGGGCAGATAAATAATTTGAGAATCACTCGGCTGAGATGTCAATTCCCTAGAATCAGAGACTAGTCAGGCTGGGGGCTCAACCAGGTGTGTGAAATGAGCTAGTGCCCAGTGGACCGTGGCTAGGGCTCTAGATCTAACGCTGTTCCCTAGATAGAGGGTGGTGGCTTAATGTGTGGGACCAGGGTTTTGAATTTTGTTACTGAGATCCAGGATTGGGGTACAGATTTTGTTGACCTAGGTAGGATATCAAGCTGAGGGTCCTGATGTAGGAGAGGGACGAGGGATGAAAGAGGGGTCGGGCTGGACAAGGTGGGAAGAACGTATGGGCCTATGGCTGTTTGGAGGTGAAGAGATAAGGAAAGAACAAATGGACGCGGCAGTGGGCATCGGAAGGGGTTGAGTGCAAGAAGGGAGAGGCAGTGACAAGTTACGGGATCCCTGGTTTGTGGCGTCAGGAATGACTTGGTAACAGGAAGTAAGGCAGAGTGGAGCGAGCCGAAGTGTTATGGGTCCGGGATCGAAAATGGGGTGGAGGAGTAGGAGCCGGGAGCCAGAAGTGGGTGGGGTCGGGGGGTGTCAGAGGCCCCGAGCCAAGTCAGAGGTCATTCGCCCACCGTGCCAATGCAGTCAGTCAGGCTGGGCGGCGGAGCCTTGGGTTTCGCTTTCCCGAAGAATCGGTTCATCTTGGGCGGCCGCGAAGAATATCCAAACACTGGAGCAAAACCAGAAACGGAAGCAGAATCACCTCCGCCTCTGCCGTGACTTCCGGCTCCCCATGCGCAAGCGCAATGTGCTTATTGGCTTTTCCCCATCCTTCCTTCGAGTTTTCAGATCGGACTTCCGGGGAAGGAGAGCTCCAGGAGGTTGGAGATAGGGGGCGGATAGAGAGTCAGCAGGGGGCGCGGTCTCGCTGAAGGGCGTGGGGCGTGGCTTCAAATGAGCAAGGTGGGGCCTCGGCTGAGTGGGTGGGGCCGAGGGGGGTGCTCTGCCGGTATAGGGCGAGGCAGAAGCGGGGCCTGCTCCAGGAGGCGGCGCCCGTACGCCGGGGCGGGGCGGGACCGGGGAAGTACCCCGGCGAGGTTGCAAGGCACAGGGCTCAGCATCCACCGCTGGGCCGGCAACAGGCGCGGGTCTGGCGGAGCGCGGTGGCGCG